GAATGATCTGAAAATGGATTAAAATAAAGGCAATGTAAAAGAGGACCTTTATTTGTGCCCATTTACTACAAATACTACTTGTAAGTAGTTTGTTTTAGGGATATTTTATGGCTCAAAATACCGAGTGATTCATCAAAAAATAGGTTCTAAATTACACTACACTGTTCATCCTACCCCTGAAATCAGAACTAAACGGATGGAGCACTACATAAATCTCAATGTCCCTCCAGACATACATTCTACTGAAAATTGCAGCTAAAACTCTAGTAAACCGTTCAACTGTTGACAAAGCCGATGGATGTCGGCTAGATCTTGCCTGACCGTGAAATGGGGCAAATGGGATGTGTCGACATGTACCTGAGTCATGACTGGCGCAGTCGAAGTGACTGGCGCAGAAACCGGCGTCGAGTGTGGAGAAGGTTGAGTCGACCGTGAGACTGTGAGCAACTGGAGTGGAGCCGGTTCGAGGGGTCGAACAATCAGACCAGTCGGCATCAGTTGGTTGCCCTCGGGTCGAGACGCAGACTTCGCGAACTGGTCGAGGAGGGGGACTGTACTGATGATGCTGTTGCCAGTGTTGCTGTTACCGTTGCCGACACTCATGCCCATGCTCATGCCCATACCCATGCCCATGCCAATGTTGTTGATAGTGTTGCTGATGCTGGTCATGCTGTTGATACCGCCGGCGTGGCACAAGTTGGCCGAGTTGGCGATGGTGTTGGCTAAGAGAACGGGTGACGGTGATGCTGACAGTCTGTAGTGAAGCGGGCGAATAAAGGACACAAGAGACGAGCAAACAGATTAGGTCCTGTCGGGTCAGGTTAGAGCAGAGTCGAATAAATGAAAAAAAAAAAAAGTATAAGATAACAATTTCGGGGTGACTTTTATTTTGCCTCAGTGTTGATGCATTCGGAGAGACAGACTGTTTAGGTTGGATAAAAGACCAACGATGTAAACTTTTGTGTTGATTTTTGCGACAACAATACCTCGTGGAACGTGCCCGGTCCTGCGTCCGCTGCTTTCGAGTAGTTATGCCGACGTCTGCGAATGTACCAAGTCGACGGTCCGATGCTGGAAGTCATCTTGAATATTCGAGAGCAGAGAAAGTGGGACTGGGTTAGTTGCACAAACTGCCGCCGTACCTCGGAACAAGTCGCTGAAACGAGGTCAAACCAACAGAATAGAGAAAAGAGACTGCGACTTGACAAAATGCAACTCCGTCTTGTTTGTCATATTTAAGAGCTGAAATTGTGTCCATCACACCGTTTGCAATAAAGCTTCCTGTTTACAACATCCTGTACATGCTCACAACTAAAAATAAACATGACAATGAACTCAAAGTCTGCATCACACACTTTTACACAACACAAAAATCAGTGCATTTGAGTCGAAATTTGACTTTCTACGTCCAAGTGTTGCAAGGGAAGTGACACTTTCTCTCTTGACAGATGGATCAGGATGCTTTTAGGCCTCGATACCGTGCGCAGAGGCCCATCGAGGG